CGTCCAATATCGGGTGTTTGAAGAGAAGGTCCACAGAGATGTTGGAGTGCAACAGCTTGTTGAGACTCCAGACAACCCTCAACGCACTGAGGGAGTTCCCTCCATTATCAAAGAAATCCGACTTCTCATGGATTTCAGTGCACAGGATTTCGTTCCATACTGAGATCACCTTATCGATTAATGAAAGATGCTCTCGTGCCATTGGCGACTGTCGGGCGTTTCCCTTCAACTGGATCTCCTCCACCATTTTGGCCATTTGTGGCGGAGGAAGTGGAGAATACGTGACGATCCCACTCATTCCCAATGTCTCTCTGATTACCCTTCTCCCAACGGCGGTAGAAATGGAGGCTTTAGATAGGATAGACTTGAGAGCATCGTTTTTGTAGGTCGACGCCATCCCGGCGTCTTTCCAGGAAGGCCATTGAACGGCAAGTATCCGGTTCACGTTGGTGTGCCCTTTCAGAGCTAGTGCGTCCAGGAATAGGTTTGCAGCCGCGTAGTCGTCAGCCCCTTGAAGGGTTACTAACACTGCTTAATGACGACGTCATTACCAAATTGTCAATGGAAAGATTATTTCCGCTCAGGTAATCGAGTATGTTCAGCACCCCCATGACCTTCGGATGAAGAACTGATAGCATTTCCTCTGTGGTTTTCGTTAGTGAAGGTGCTGTTGGCAGGCCTGCAGCGTGAATTATGGTGTTTATGTACCAAACCGGCGTCGGACTTCATCAAGTGCGCTGGCCACGGAAGTTCTGTCACCCAGGTCCATACTGACGTAAGACACTTTTGGGATAACCCGCTCTTTTGGATACCGGCTGGCAATCACTATGTTCTGCACGTCAGGCCTTTTCCTCAGGACATCCACATAAGCTGAACCAATCGCTCCACCTCCACCAATGACAACGACAGTTTCTCCCAATTGCATGTCCTTTTCAGATTGGCTTACTTCCACGTAGGTCTTGTTAAGGAGGTGTCCAGGCGTTGCCAGGCAAGACGTCTTCTTCTCCTAGGTCTGTTGAAAGTATATGATCAATGAGTGTTCCTATAGGAACTCCCTCCGAATTGTCCACGAAAACATTCTTTCGTTTCTCACCCAAATGGTACTGCTTGATAGGTCCTACTGTAGTCCAATGGATAGGATCACCCGTGAGTGAGATCACCACAAGTCGCGATTTTGGCGACGTGGCTATTGTCTGGCAGATCTTTCGGGACAACAAGAACGGCTCACTCACGTTAGTAGGGTCGGTCTCTGGGAGGTAGACGATAAGGGAGTATGCAGTGAGTTCTTCCGGTGAGAATGAAAAAGCCTCGAGGGGCTTTGCTGAGTAGATTTTGCAGACGGAGCAATCCATGCTGATATTTTGCCGCTGTGCTGGATATGATCAGGGTCTTATCCTGATGTACGTGACCCTGCCCATTCTTACTGTTCGTCATAAGGCTCCACGATGCCTTGAAGTAGCGAGCAGTCGTTTCCTTGATGATTCTTTCTCTCCAGCAGCTGATTTGATCGAATTGATAGACCGGCATGTTTGGGTCAAAACTGCGGCTGCCAAAAACCTTCCCAAAGTCCACGTCATAGCCCAAAGCCCACAGATCACCAAGGGACTGGAAAAGTTGCGAATGCGATGATCTTTCAGCAGCTCTTCGTCGGCCTAAAACGGTATGGACCACATGAACATTGGCAGATCTCTCAGCCTAATAGATTCCTCACAATCCCAGCTGGACCGATTTCAACGATCACTTTGATTTTCTCATTAGAGAGCGTTTTATCTAGGCATTTCTTGAGATTCACGGAGTTTTCTCATATGATTCCAGCAGTAATTATAGTCGAACTCTGTAATTACCTCTCCATTAATGTTGGATACGATTTTCTTAGTTCCTTTGCGGAATGGGATTTTCTTGGCGGCTTTGACGAAGTCTCTCTGGATGCAATCCATCATCGAGGAGTGGAATCCATGATCAGTGGAAAGTTCCTTGAAAGCAATCCCTTTCTTCGACAGCATCTCTTTCAAAGCCTCGATTGAGCCAGGCGGGCCCACGACACATTTCATAGTATCCGATAGATGGGCGGTAACCTCAATGTCGTCTGGGAGAGCCCCGTTGAATCCGACCACGGCAAGCATTTTGGCTTCCTTTGTTGTGCTCACAAGTTCTCCTCGTTCCTTTAGAAGTTTCATACAAGAAAATTCGTCAATAATACCGCTGTAACAAGCAGCCGCGTACTCGCCTACACTGTGGCCTATGAGGAAATCCGACGAGATTCCCCAGGAATCCAGTTGGGCGAGCACCGCCCTGGAAATGATGAAAAGAACCACTTGGGCGTACTTCGCTGCCAAAATCATGCCTGAATCCGTGTTAGTGGTTGGATACATTATCTCCATGAAATCCACTTGGAAAAGTTTGGACGCGAGGCCAATTAGTCGTTCGAGCTCGTTCTTGAATACCCCTCCATAATCCATGGTTATCTTCTCCATGTTAGGATATTGAACTCCTTGTGGCGCGAACAAAAAGCATATGTTGGAGTTGTCCAGTGGGGTTGAGTGAATGGGGGTACTGAAGGCTTCCAGCTGCGATACTGCTTCTTGAACTGATCTTACTGCGAATGCAGCTCTATACTTGAAGTGATCCCTTCTCTGTTGGAGTGTGGCAGCAACCGCTTCTAGATCAACATCAGATCGGCTCCGCAGGTACTCTGCAATGGCTCTACACTGGCTAACGCAGGCCTTCTCTGAGGAGCCTGAGATGGGAAGAATGTGTAGAGCCGTGTTTGCAGCAGTGGAACGGTGAGAAATGGGCTTGCCACTTCCTAGCACGATATGAGCATTAGTTCCGCCGATACCGAATGAACTTACCGCTGCTAGTGAATCCGAAGCAA